CAATCTACAGATTTATCACAATTCCTATGAATATCCCAGCTCCTTTTTTTTTGACTGAAATCATTAAGAACACGTAAAATAATATTGAAAGAATAAAGTTGAAGGATTCATAGGACCCAATTTCAAAATTTTTACTAAGTCACAGTTACTAAAAGCAGTGGAGTACACGCAGAGGAAGAGTCATATAAGTCAACTGAACTGAACTGAATTGAGGGCACAGAAATAAGCGTTTATATTAATGGCTAACTGATTTTTCAACAGGGGTGCCATGGCAGTTCAATGGAAAATAATAAATAGTCTGTCAACAAATCCCAATGGAGTAATGGGGTGTCCATACATAAAAAGAAGACAGGTGCACCACTTTCTTACAGCATATGCAAACATTAACTCCAAACACTTCTTAGACCTATATGTAATAATTGAAACTATAAAACTCTTAGGAGAAAACATGGAGGTAAACCTTTACGATACTGGATTAAGCAAAGCATGCTTAGATAAAACATTAAATAATACAATTGGCATGAGTGAGAAAAGAAAAAATAGACAACTTTATTAAAATTTAAAAAGTTTTTCCTGCAAAGGATGCAATTAAGAATTTGTTTTAAAAACCCATGGATTGAGGGAGGAATATTTTCCAATCATGTGTCTGTTAAGGAATTTATTTGTATCTACCTCTCTATCTATAAAACTCTTCCAATTGAATAAAAAGGTAGATAATTCAATTAAAAATGGAGAAAGGAGCTGAACAGATATTTCTCAAAAAAAGATATACAAATAGCCAATAAACACATGGTAAGATGCTTAACGTCACTAACTATCAGGTAATCCAAACCACAAAGAGATGCACTTCCAATCCAAGAGGATGGCTGTAATATAAACAGACATTAGGTACTGGCAAGAATATGGAGAAACAGGAATCTTCATGCACTGCTCTTTGGAATGTGAAATGGTGCAGTCAATGTGAAAAACAACCTCAGAGGTCCTCAAAATGCTAAACAAAGTTACAATGAGACCCAGCAATTCCTCCTCCAAATATACAGCCAAGAGAACTGAAAAGGTATCTCCATACAAAAATCTGTTCACAAATGTTCACAGCAGTATTATTTATTGACAATATCCAAAGGTGAAAACAATCTAAATGTCTATCAACTGATAAGTGATTAAATAAAATGTGGTGTATCTATCTATACAGTGGGCTATGTCTTGGCTTGAAATGGGCATGAGGTATTGATACAGGCTACAACGTGGATGAACTTTGATATACTTTGCTAAGTGAAAGAAGCCAGGCACAAATGGCCACGTATTGCATGGCTATATTTAAATAAAATTGTAGAACAAGCAAATCTACAGATAGAAAGTAAATAACGATTGTCTAGGTCCGGGATTGGGGGCCAGAGGGAATGGAGAATGACCCTTAGTGGGTACGAGGTCTACTGGGGGGCACAGAAAGTATTTAAAGGTCAGCTAACTCTGTGAACATACTAGAAGCCACCGAATCATATGCTTTAAATGGGTAAACTCTATGGCATATGAATTATAGCTCAACAAACCTGTTAAAATTCTCTCAGGTTTATAAGATCTAAAAATATATATCAACACTCCAGGTATAATAGAAACACTCATTTATGCGTGGCTTAGATGTATTTAAAAACAGGAGACAACATTATGAAGCTGATAAAATGTTTCTTCAGTTTTTCCTACCAAGATTATTTAACCAAATTCAAGACATATTTTTTAGCATGCATACCAAATACAAGAATTCTCTATGTTTATTAGAAATGGTTGCAAGCTAGAGAGCTGCTGATTCTGCACAGCCATCTCCACGTTCAAGCTGGTCTTGCATCTTATCGTCACTACATTAAAATCAACTTTATGAGCAACTGTATACTTGTATCAGAACAGCTACTATTAAAAAATGTTGTAATGCCTACCCATAAACCTATATGAATCCAAATAGGAGCCTTTATGGTGAAGTAAATGACATTCAGCAATTCTGCATCCATTTGGAAGTGCATTTTTGGATATGAAATATTTATGCTTCTTTAGGACTTAAATTTAATGAGCATCAAAATTTCAAAATAATTGATTATTATTAAGAAATCTTGTTAGGAAATCTCATAAAATATTACCTGTAATACTTTCCATTTGAAAGCCAAACTATTGCCTTCCTTAAAATCTCTATTTGCATGTTTTCCCCATAAACTTAGATACTGAGGAAAACAACTACAGAAGGGCTATCATTAAAACCATTTAAGGCTTACAGTTCAAAACGCTGTTGTCCTACATACATCACCTTGGTATAGAGCCCGTTTGCAATCCTTGCCTCCTCACAGCAGTTCGCAAAGCCAATTAGGGATTAGCACGGGTATTCTCCAAGGGAGAGAACCTAAACGCCGTTTCTCTGGCCATAGGAAGCGGCCTCCTGGGGCAGAACAAAAACTGCAGGAGACACAGTTTTGGAATGCACTGGCAGAAGGATAAGTCTTTATGACTTTGCTGAACACAGTGACTGAAATTCAGTGGCACCTTTCAGGAGCTACTATGGTGGCCAGTGGCCAGATGAAGAAAGAACCTAGGGGAGCTAACAGGAAGCCCTGAGCAACCCTGGCTGTCCCACCACACGCATACCCAGGGCAACGTCTGCCTTGCAGTGAAGTCTGCTCTAAGAAATGGAGACAGCATATGTCACTGGAGCATTCAGCACTTAGTAGGTGTGCAGTATTTCTGGCTCTTATTCTTTTACATCCTAATAAGAGGTAGATCAGAGTCCACGGATATGTATCAGAAAATCCTATGGCGTTTGTCCAGCCAGAGGCTATTACTCTGGGAATTTGGCCAAGTTCCAGCTCAGGTAATTGTATTCCACTTCCTAAATCTGCCCTGCTGTTTCAATTAGGTACAGCCTTGATCATTTTCCTGCCTTTTTGGGAAAGTGGGAAGGGTTAGAAATTCATCTTGAACTCCTTAGCCTTGCTGACACAGAAAAAAAGATAAATGTAAAATGATACGACAGTATTGACTACCTTAGTAATGAACGAGAGGATGGCTGTGAGTTAACTTGCGTGTTCGGTGAGCTTTAGAATACCAAATACAGATATGGGAGAGCAAAGCCCCTTCAGACGGAATTAGACAACTATGTCAAAACCCCCGTCAGATAACAACCACACAGATCTTCTCTGTAATACAGAGGGGGGCCTAATGATCTATTTAAATCCATGTAAGAAAAAGCTAAGACATTCTTGTAAGTGTTTATATTTCTAATAGAACCATGCTGCCATTATCTGGGTAGGCGCCATCAGCAGAGATCCATGGAATGTAGGAACCAGCCAGTTTCTCTGTAACGCCACAGAACCTAATAATAAAGCAGGCTGCCATCTCTCAGCTGGCCAAAAATTTAAAGTCTGACAATATCAATTTTGGGAAAAGATATAGGAAAAATAAAACTCTCATGCAGTGCTTCTGGGAATATAAACTGGTTCAGACACTTTTTGTAGCAATTTCGCAGCATCTTATAAAACTAAAAACTCCCTCCACCCTGGCAATTCAGCTTCTAAGAATATACTCCACTGAGGCACGTTGCACTGGGAGACACATCCGCGGATGCTCCCTGCAGCAATGTTCTCATGGAGGAAAACTGGGGGACACACTGAACGTTCATAAAGGAATTTTTTAAATGTAGTTTATTTATATGATAGAATATCACAGAATGACCTAAAAGAAGTAATGCCAAGTGGGGATAAAACCCAAGAATATAGAGAAAGACATACAGTTTGACACCACTCATTAGCACTTACAAAAGGCAAACCTTCCCTTTCTTCCTTTATGAATACATAGTGATCTTGGGAAACACAGCACACATGAATGCACAGGCATTTGCAGTGTGACTGCTTAGTGCTGTATGAATCTTGGTAAAAATCAAGGGCTAATTCCCATGACAGAGCAAAAAAGCCAGGCCCTTGCTTCTCTAAATCATGCCAAATACTAGCAGGGAATGAGCACTGAATCTAGCCTGGCCAACATGACAATCCCACCTGGGGCTTTGCACCTCAAACTGAAGACACAAAGCCCCGTAGTCAGTAAAGAATATCTACTTCGGGAAGGGTCACCTCCCACAGTAAGGTGGGCAGAGGCACAGCACCAGCTCCCCGCATCCTCACAGTCTCTGTGGTCCGCCTGCATAACCTCACTTTGGGCACCTGCTCATTATCTGAGCCTACAGCACCAGTATTCTCAGGGATTCTATTTGTCAGCCAATTCTCTTTCAATAGAATGCCTTGTCTGCTTAAAGCAGCTACAGTCTGTGGCTGCTGCTGCTGTGTGTGGACTAGAGACTGTGCAGATGGAGGTGCAACGACCAGCTCACCACTGTGGGGGCTCCTGGCTGGAAGGAAGGAACAGGGCTAGCAATCTGCACTGTTTCATTTATTTAGTTTGCATACAAATGTGACAAATTGTTAAGAATTGTTCATACTGGATGGTAAATAAATGTGTTTGTCTATCACCCATTGTACTTTTTAAGAGGCCATTTCTGGGGTCCCCAAGTAGTTTATGACACCTACATTATATTTGGTCTTATATTTGACAGATTTGGGGCCTGTTTGGGGCTATACTGTTTGAAATTATGTGATAACTACATACTGGACTTAAGAACAAAATGTGTGGATTCTCAGTATTTAACCCTGTGCTACTACCGAAAGGGGCAATCCAAAAATCATGGCAGTAAATAAACACACTCTTTGCAAGGATGTTCACGCATACTAAGGAATTCCTTTATTCCTCTTTCCCGATTATCATTTTAAGATACTTAGATACAAACCCCGACATTTACACATGAAACAACATGCTTTTGGATTTCCAGGCTAGCAAACCAACACCTGGAGATTTGTCAGGGAAATCTCTTGTCAGGATGACTTCCCCAGGTTTTAGTCCCTCCTCTTACTCTTTAATATAAATATGCCCCCAATGATATATCCAGATATTTAAAAGTAGAGACGACTTACTACATGGATGTCCTAACACCTTCACTTCATCTATAGCGAGGTAGCCTTGGTGTCCAGAAGTTATCACTTCAAAAATCACCTGGAAAATTGAGAAAGATTTACATTATTTACTCATTCTGTCAGACTTTTAGCAATAATCTCCTACATATAAAACACACAGTTTGATTCACTTGTTAATTCCTTCATGAGCCTACCATCTGCTGGCCAGTGGTCCAAGTTCTAGACGAGACCACTAGAAGGACTTTCCACCTGGGGGTGAGATTTGAGCCAATAGCCTCAGGGTGAGAATGAGTGACAGTGTGAGGAGGGTGATGTTCATTCCAGGGTGTGTATGAGGGCCCCAAGGTGGATGCCCATGGCAGGAACAGAATTGGGACCTGAGACTACAGGGGCCAGGTTACAGAAGACTCTGCCTACAGGGAGGGGACACCTGCAAAGATGCTCTATTAGCAACACAGAGAAGAGACTGCACTAACTGAAAGTCAGACCACAGAGGTGTGAATTACAGAGATAGGGTATAAACATTTCCACAGTGCTGAAATCAAGTGGGCATTAGCAATTCCTTTATCACTGGAGGAGCAAGACAGGAGGAAAATGGCAATATAGCTTGAGGTTCTAAGAAGGATGGACTTTTCTGAGATAAGGGAGCCACTTTGTAGAAACTACGGCTCAAAGAGATAGAAGAGCTGGTCTAAGAGGCTAATCAGTTTTCTTAAACTTGATTAATTGCCTAAAAGTGTCAGCTGTCAGGCTATTGTTTTAAAGATCCATATGAACATTATTTTAACTTCCATTTATAATAGAAAGAAACTATATGACCAGGGGACTGACTCACAACAGAACAGGAAGACCATAAGTCTTAAAACACAACCCAACTGCACTCTTGGAGATTTAACTCAGAGCAATGAAAACTTTCATTCACATAAAACCTGTACATCCATGTTTATAGAAGCTTTATTCAGCCAAACCAATGGTAACAGCTCAGATGTCCTTCAACTGGTAAAGCACTAAACAGACTGTGTTTCATCCTTACCTTGGAACACTTCTTAGCAATAAAAAGCACCTAACTTGTGTAGACCCAGCTACTTAGGAGGTTGAGGTAAGAGAATCACTTAAACCCAAGAGTTTGAGGTTGCTGTGAGTTGTGATGCCATGGCACTCTACCAAGGGCAACATAGTGAGACACTTCCTCAAAAAAAAAAAAAAAGCACCCAATTATTGATATGCCCAACTTGAGTGAAGCCCCAGAGAATTACACTGAGTGAAAAAAGCCAATCTCCCAAATTACATACCCTATGGATCCATTTATGTGACATTACAGAACATTTATGTCCATTTATGTGACATTTTATAATGCCAAGATTTTAGAAATGGAGGATAGATTAGCGGTTGCCGAGGGTGGGGAACGAAGGAAGATGAGGCTGGAGGTAGATGGGTTTGTTTACAGACAACCTCAACAATCCTTGTGTCTTTGGAAGTGCTGAGCGTTTTCACTGTGGTGGTGGATACACAAACCTACTTAGGTGACAAAATCATACCAAACTAAATACACATGCATGCACAAGTCTAATAAGCTCTGCAGACTGTAACAATGTCAATACCCTGGTTGTGATATCATACTACAGTTTTGTAAAATGTCACCATTTGGAGAAACTGAGTAACATGTATACAGGAATATAACATGTATACAGGAATATAACATGTATACAGGAATATTATTCTTTGCTACTGTGTGTGACTTCATAAATTTTTCCATAAAAAATTTCTATTTATAAAACTAATTATCAATTTACCATTTACGGAGCACGTTATGTGCATTATAAAGATATCACTCTGTATCTTATTTATCAATTCATGCAAAAATTCCTCAAGAATTTCATGTTTCAAAAAATGAAAAGCTTTAAGGTAAATGTCGAAAAAAAATGCAATGATGTCTACCATAGATATAATCTTTAAATGCAATCATTTTGGCTCCAAATACATAGTTTTCACTTCTACACAGTGCCAGAGCAAAACCTTCACTCTTAGGACAGATTTCATGTCTCTGGAGGAAGCACTCAGCAGAGCCCCACATGGAAGAAACTCAGGGGGCCCCTAGACTACAGGTACAAGAAGTCATTCGGGACCCCTTGCTAGGCTGGACAACATTGAGCCATATACCATTGTAGTAAAATATGACACACCCAGCGGGGAGAAGAGGCACAGCATAAAAAGAGAAATGACATCAAACTTTGTTTTCTTCATAAGCTTATTATTCATGAAAGAAAGGAAAAAATGCATGGATATTCTTTGAATGGACTTTATCTCTCTTCTACTAAAGTCTATCAGAGGACAATGGACAGCAGGACAGGAAGATGGAAATTGAGAGCAAGTATAGGAAAAAGCATCCAGAGGCCCTCGCAGCAGGGCCCCTGGGTAAGGGTCATAAGCTGCCTCATAGGAAACACCCACAGTAGGCACCTCAGGAACCTGCTGTCTGCTCTGACACAACAGCTCCTGCAAGGACAGTCAACGGCTGCTGATGTCACTGCCACCAGCTACCCAAGAGCACCATTGCTGTGGTCACAAAAATGTATTTTGAAATCCTAACCCAGAAATGTCCATCAGACCTTCCTACCTTCCCTCTGCCTTCCTTGTCTCCCTCCCTCGGCTCCCTTTCAGCTCCCTTTCTCCCTCCTCCCTCTGATTCATGCCTTCATTCAACTCTAAGCTCTACCCGTCACCTCTCTTCTAGGCACTGTGCATAACATGAAACCAGGTGCATAACATGAAGATGAAGATCCCTTTCCTCATCAAAACTGTCCTTCCTATAGAAATTATACTTTACCTGATCAACCAAAAGGACTGAAACTCTAATAAAAATAGAATTATCCTTATTCTTTGAAGGGATGCTGTGGTCATACAAAATATGCTTATATGTACACGTAAATTTAATTTATAATATTTTATTTAAACTAATATAGGGCCAGGGCCCTATGAAAGAAAAGGAAAGTGAAAGGAAAGGGGCCAAGAAAATTATAGCCCTCGAGAAACCACTTCAACTTCTTTGAATCTGATTTTTCATCTGTCATGTCAAAGAATGGATGATCCTCAGAGGTTTTACACTAAAAAATTCTGAGTCCTTTAATCAAAATCTAAGATCTGAGAATAAGTTTTATAAACTTTAATGTGTAGTTAGAGAAAAAATAAGGAAAATGAATGATGAAAGAACAGAACAAGACAAAGTCAATGACAGGTTCCAGCAATAAGGCCTTCATAGAAAAGTAATGTGGTCTTTCTCTGCCAGAGAACCACACTTTCTCCACACCACACACGCCAGGGCGCCGGGACACAACACAACCTTCAATGCTGAGCTTCAGCCTGCTAGAAGAAGCTACAGATGACTCAGCATACACTGGGCCTTTCATCCCTACTGGACTAGAGCAAAGAGATCTGGCAACAGGCCAAAGCACTTCACATGTCCAGCAAGAAGGCCACACAGAAGAATTAAACTCATGCTTATTTCTGCAACTTGATTTTCTCCCCTCAGTCTTTTATTCCAACTAGAAAATCAAGAGGCAAAGAAAGATAGAATCTAATCATAAATACACTCAAAGGACAATGGCCTGCCCCTTTCAGTTAATTAGAAAGTAAACCTCTCAGTATTTGACAGGTTCCAGCATTGACTTACATAGACCTAACTGCAGAGTTCAAAGAAGGAAAACTTTCTTTGTGGATAAGTTCATGTGTGCACATCTACACAACTAATGCATAATATGTAAATAAAAGTTTCTTATGTCACATAGTTATGTGTTTATACCTAAGAAGGCAAATCATATGTTATAAAATTGAAGCAGTAACTTTAATGTTCCTTTAAAAATTGAAGGAAGTTTTTCAAAAATCCATTTTCTAGCTCTTAATAAACTCCTAAGGGACTTATAAGCATATGTTTTATTAGGTGCTTTATCAAGTTTACAATTCAGTTTATAACAATTTCATTACATTTCACAATTACAAAGTAGCTATGATTTGTACTTCAAAGTTTCTCATTTTGAAATAAATATCATTAAACAACAATGTCTGAATTTAGATGCTGTAGAGCATTCTTAGACTGACTACTAACCTAAAATACTTGACCACTGGGAATTGTTTTCTTTTATAACAAACAAGAGTGTTAAAACATGCAGCTCAAAAGATGAGGCCCATCTTAACCTGGTTTCCTTTTTTTTCTGAGATAGAGTCTCACTCTGTCACTCTGGGTAGAGTGCCGTGGTGTCATCATACCTCAGCAATCCAACTCTGGAGTTCAAGCAATCCTCTTGTCTTATCTTCCTCAGTAGCTGGGACTACATATGGCCACCATAACCTCCACCTAGTTTTTCTATTTTCAGTAGAGATGGGTCTCAGTCTAGCTCAGGCTGGTCTCAAACTCCTGAGTTCAAGCAATCCTCCTGTGTCAGTCTCCCAGAGTATTGGGATTACAGGCATGAGCCACTGGCACCTGGCCCATAACCTGGTTTCTTTTTTTTTTCCCTCTTAGGTTATGTGAGGGTACAAACAACTAGGTTACAATATTTGCTTTTGTTAGTCAGAGTCTCTCTTGTAGTTGTGTCCTGTACCTGTAACCTGATTTCTTAAAAACACATTTCAGAATCCCATTAAAGATTTCATTGTCATGAATTCATGCTGTCTGGCAAGTTTTCTATTTTGTCCTCCTTTTAAGCCAGTGCCCTTACGAGGAAGGCTTCAGAAGGAAAGTTAATATTTTGCCTCTATTTGTCAAATAAAGAACTACTCTATTGAAAGTACAGGTATTGTTCTAGTGAAGCATAAAAAGAGTATGCAGAACCCAGTGGAAATCACTAGAACATTTAAAAACACCAGGATCCAAGTCCAAAACTGAGGTCAGAGGAAAAGGCAACCTAAGAGCAACAATGGTAACAATGGAACAAGAGGAAAGAACAGTGTACAAAAACAATTTGGGGATGTGCCATGTTTATTTTTATTAAACAGAACACAATATATTGAAAATTTTCTGTATTAGATGTAAGGCTTTGAGGGTCTTTAGGGTCTACACATTAAGTCTTTTTTAAAAAAGAA